AGGCTGCTCTGAGAGCACATCCTGGGGACACCTAGCCCCGTGGAGCGGCCGGGAGGAAGGACGGGAGGGGGCAATGTCCACGTGGAGATTCGAAGGGAGTGGACATCGTCCACAGAGAGGCGTGGGCTGTACTCCAGGCAGTGGCACGGCCAGAGGAAGATGGTATCCCCAAGCACCAGGAGGTTGGAGGACGGTCTGTGGTTTGTGAGCGGGGCCTGCAGGCACGTGGTGCCAGGGCAGGTGGGCCGACCATGGAGGGTGACCTCGGGCACGAGAAGGCCGTGCTCTGTATCCACACAGCAGAGGTGCTACCGAGGAGCCTCACACTGGGGCTGCAGAGCTAGACTCGTGTGTTAGCAGTATGACTCCGATGGCAGATATGCAAATGAATTGGAGGGGGTGATGCTAGCAGTGACACAATTAGAAGGATGTAATCAAGAATAAGAGGTCATAATGGCTTATTCTAAGAAGGCGATGGCAGTGGGAGTGGAGAGGGGTGGACAGATTAGAGAAATATATTAGGAATCAGGTTGACAAAATGAGTTGATTGACAGGGGGCAACGACAGCAGTGAGATGGGAAGTCCAGGCGCCCAGCTGGGACTCGCAGGTGACCATGGCACAGGCACTGGTTTAGAGGACGCCAAAAGAGTGGGCCTGTGGGAGGATGACCGGGGATCTGTGCTGGCTGGGTGCAGTGTCAGGAGCCTATAGGAATCCCAGTCAGAACCCTGAGAAGCCTGGGGGCTTGATGTTGCTGAGCTCAGGGGAGAAGTGTGGTCTGGGATGGAGATTTGGAAGCCATCTGAATGCAGGTAACTGTCACCACTGTGGGAGGGACTGTGCACACCTCTCTGCCCCTCAGAAAATAGGACAGAGTGAGAGGAAAGCAGAAGAGGCCTAGGACAGAGCCTGGTGGGGGTGGAGGGTGTTAGAGGACAGTAAAAGGCACAGGCAGAGGGAGGGAGGCTGCTATGGAGAAGGGACACCAGCCAGCAGAGCAGGGAAGCCGAGGGCAGGAGTGTGCAAGACCAGACCCGTCGGTGGGACAGAACGTGGCACCCTCAGATCTAGTGGTGGGCAGCCGCTGGTGATCCATGGAGCAGGGCCAGAGGACACAGGCAGACCTGGGTGAGAGCAGGGCACGGGGACCTGACTTGGGTGGCATGCTGGAGCTGGCTCATACAGGAGCACCAGGGATGACTGGTACAGTCTCAAAAATTCTGTGAGCCAGTTTCTAAACACAGTCATTGTTTAAAATTAGAGTACATAAAATATATTAAAAACAGGGCTGACCCTGTGGCGCACTCGGGAGAGGGCGGCACTGGGAGCGCAGCGACGCTCCCGCCCCGGGCTCGGATCCTATATGGGAATGGCCAGTGCACTCACTGGCTGAGCGCGGTGCGGGCGACACCAAGCCAAGGGTTGGGTTCCCCTTACCGATCATGAAAAAAAAAAAAAAAAAAAAAAAAAAGGGATAATAAATACTCAAGGTCCACCAGTTCCTAAATCATTTACTACATTTTCACTATTATCTGTGTTCTTCAGGCCATGTGTGTCTTTATGGTGGAAATACCATATAATGAGGTGCTGCTGCACATGTCTTCCCAACGTGCCTCTAGGGGTGTCATGTTGGTAGCTTGGAATGTCCACGGTGGGAGCATGTACACCATGGGCATGGGCACACACTGCAAATCAGAGTTTTATTTTTTAGAGCAGGTTATTAAACATTTACCAGGAGAGGATGGTGTTTCAAGAATTTTGGCTGTTTTTCCATCTCTTTACTAAAAGAAAAAAACTTTTAAAAAGAATTTTGGCTCTAGAGAACAGAAAAGAGAGATGGTAACTGGGGGCTGATGTGGGGGTGAGGGCTTTGAGTATGTCTGAATGCTTCTCCCAGCAGCTGGGAGGTATGGAAGGAGGGGATTAATCACTCTAGTGAAAAGCCCCACAGGACAGGCCCAGCGTGGCTGAGGGGACAGGAGTGAGAGGATGCGCCAGGAAAGGGAAGTGGAGGGATTCCGCCTGCTGGCTTCTGTTTTCCCTGTGAAGTAAGAGGTGAGCTCTTGAGTGTTTGACACCTAGTGGGCACTCAGTAAATAACTGTTAAATGATGGCATGAACAAACGTAGGGCCAGAGGACAGGTGTGATGGCGCTGTGCAGGGTCCAAACAAATCTGGCCCTGTGCGAGAGCTGCAGGGCTGCGGGAGGTCAGGGTGCAGCTCTGCTCACGCCTTGCCCTGTGTCCTAGGTCTCCTGGCTTCCATCTGTGGTGGCCTCGTGATGCTTCTACCCGAAACCAAGGGCATTGCCTTGCCAGAGACGGTGGATGATGTGGAAAAACTTGGCAGGTATTGTACAAAATTCAATCCATCATAGATAAAAGTGGCACTTCAAACCGTTGGGGGAAGGACAGTGTTGAGAACGTTAAATAGCCATAGGAAAAAGAACATTAAATGCCCATCTCGCATCCTAAGCAAAAAATTCAAAGTAGATTAGGAAGGTTAATATAAAAGAAAAAAACCCCACAGTGCCATAAAAGAATATGTATTGTCTTTTGAATGTGGTTTTAAAGAGGGAAGCACATGATGCAGCAAAGTGGAAATAACTGACGTGCATCAGTAGCAAACAGATTGAGACGACGACGATATAGTCATGACTTGGATTACTAGACAGAGATGGAAAGAACTGAGGTCCATCTTACCTGCATGCAGTGACACAGGAAGCTTCTCGAGATTTGGTACAAAGTGAAGCGTCACTGAACAATGCAAAAAATAAAATCAATGGAAACCTCTCTGTGCAGCTAGATGGGAAGGTAGATGACAGATGATAGAAAGAGAAAGAGAAAGAGAGAGAGAGGGAAAAGGAGAAAGAAAAGAAAAGAAAGAGAGAAAGAAAGAAAAAACAGAGATAGGTAGACAGGAGGGAGAGAAAAATGGAGAGCGAGAGATTGAGTTTTGCAGGAGGGCATTGAAATACTGCCCAGGTAAAGTTAATGTCCAGCCAAATATATAAACATGAAGAGTTATATCAACAAAAATTCACATTATGCAAGTTATTTCTAGTTTTTTTCTGTTTAAAATTTCTCATAATAGAAAGGCAGAGAAAAACGTGAGAATGTAGAGTAAAAGATGTGGAATAATACTATCCCTTCTGGGGACAGACGCAGGCTGGGAAGAGGCGTGGGAGGGCAGGGCCGTCACCTTTCATACCTGTAGAAGGCCGAGCTGACTTGTGTTATTAGAACCCACGGTCTTGTGTTATTAATTTTTAAAAATAATTTAACAGTTAACTTTAAAAATAAAATTCAATCTTCTTAATAATGACCTGGAAATTAAGAATGTGGACCCCTAAAATTTTTTAAATGTATCTAAAATATTTATAAAAAGACTGAAATTTTAGTAACCTCATGGCAGTTTTGTTCTTCCCTTCTCGATTGGGACGAAGGTAGAAGCTGACATTTTTAAGTACCTGTGTGATCGGTGGTTTCACATTTGTTAGTTCATTTAATACTCAAACAACTTTGTGCAATAGAAAGTTTTATTCTCACTTTTTTATACCTAGGAAATCAGAAAGTTTTCACAATTTTTGAATGCTAGGACCAGGATTGGTGCTGTATGCGTTGCGTACAAGTGTGACCCATTGTTTTATGCAGTTTCATGCTGCATCCTATTAGTGAATTTTTTAAATAGTGTGTACCCTCTGGTAGGATTGGAAATTTCTCTCTTCAGGTCCCTCTTTTAATTCCCCCTCCCCATCCCCCTCCCTAGAGTCGGGCGACCATGCTAAGAGTCTTATGAGCATTTTACCAGACAGACCTTTAAAATTTTACAAAGCAGGGCCGGCCCAGTGGCACACTGGATAGTGCACCGCTTGGGAAGCGCGGCGGCGCTCCCGCCGAGGGGTCGGATCCCACATACAGACCAGTTCCCGCTCACTGGCTGAGCGAGGCGCGGGGGCAACACCGAGGGTTGCGATCCCGTTGCCGGTCCCGGTCCGGTACGGGGGCGACACTGAGGGTTGCGATCCGTTGCCGGACACGGAAAAAGACAAAAAAGACAAAAAAAAAATTTTTTCAAAGCATATCTAACTTACACAGCGATTTCACTGATCTGTGTTTCGGGGGTGGGGGTGGGGTTAAATGCTATTTTGAAAGATAAGGTTGATTAATTATCCCCAGAACTTTCCTAAGGAAGGGCTACTGGTGCACTCAAAGCAAAATCACCAGCTCATGTTCCACTGGTTGACTAGTAATGGCACAGGCCAACCAGACGACGGGTGGGCATCTGCCCTGCAAAGTGACCCTGACAGATGCTTAAACTTGTTGGAAGGAAAGTGTTGGGCAGCGGCTTATTCCTCATCCGAAGCGCCACCTACACGTCACCCTAGAAAAATGCCACCTGAAGCTCGGGATGGGGCGGGAGTTTCTCTTTAAGACACTGCCATTTTGTAAAACAAAATTAAGTGAATAAAAGAAAATTACTAAAGTTACTAAAGCAGAGTGAAGTCCTTGTGAATGTTAACTATGGCAGGGCCTTGCTCCACCCAGAAAGGAGACACACTATGCTAACCTCATCCTCACAGGCAATTACTGGGTTTCTATCAGGGTGTGGGAACTGGGTCAGGATGGAGGGGGTGTCCAGTCCTGTCCCTGTCCAGTCCTGTCACCCCCATTGCAATAATACTAGAAACCAGACAAAAAGAATACTCAAGAGGGTTTAATGAAGATGGGGAAATGGCAAGGAAGGAAATAGGATTATCTTAAAGTGAGAAAGCCAGACTGTCAGGGGAGCTTCCCAGGGGCTTCGGTGCCCTCAAGGATCTGGGGCTGGGATTACTGGGTTAGTGCAAAGGAGCTCTGTGCTGAAACTTGGTGACATGAGCCTGTGAATCCATCATCGGGCTTCCAGCCCCCAGCAGTCAGAGGTGCAGACGCCTTTCCCATCGCAATGGTCGCCCCACTTCTGAATGCACCCCATGCCAATACTCTAACAAGAGGCACCCCATTGACTGTGGCCTGTTGAAGTAGAGAGAGCAGTACTCTCGTTCCTGATCTCCACACCAGCCAGGAGTCAGGCTTTCAGACTCATCAGGAAAAAGCGGAGGAAGAGGGAGTCATTTGAGATCAGGACTCCTCTACCAACTTAGATGTATTAAAATTAGAGTTAAACTGGGAGAGATGGTGGGGGAGGGGCATCTAAATGGCATGCAGTGAATATTAATATGCAACTAATATATAAATTATATTAAATTATATATATTATGTATATATATAATTACATATTATATATTTTGTTGGTATAAAGAATTATACCAACAAAAATTTAACTTATACAAATTCTTTCTAGTCTTTTCTATGTTTGTAATTTTTCATAATAAAAAGTTGGGTAAATTAATTAATTATACCTAGTCCCTATCCTTGAAAAAAATTTAATGGAAGTATGATTTACAGTTCTAAAGTTAAGCATATTAATTGCAATTCATGATTATTTACTCTGGAAAAAGCTACTTAGCACCAAATTACTGAAACCTGTAACATTTTTCCTTCAAACTGCACTGAATTATTATATCATTTCTGCTATCTTTTATTCACATCAACAGCTCAGTTCCAAACTATGTGTTATTTAGTAGAAATTCATAAAGAACTTATATGCTATTATGCTAACTAACCCCTGTCCGGGGTATGAAAGCAAGTCAGAAATGAGCCTGGAGGGCCGGCCCGGTGGCACACTGCTATAGTGCGCCGCTTGGGAAGCGCGGCGGCGCTCCCGGGGTATGAAAGCAAGTCAGAAATGAGCCTGGAAACGGTTATTTTTGTTGCCTTTGAGTTGGGTTTGCATGAGAAGTTATCCGTGAGTGTATTTGATCAAAACCAACTATGCTATTGAGTAATAACAAGAAGACTTTCTTCTACCTAATTGCATAACCTTTCACAAAGGCTTTATCTTTTCTCCTTTGTTTTGTTAGTCCGCATTCCTATAAATGTAGGAAGAAAAAGAAAACCCAGGTTTCCAGCTCTCACCTTTGAGGCCCCTGCCAAAGACAGAAGGAAGGAGCTATTCAGGACCGATCCTCCTCGAATCCGTGCCTTGCAGAGATGTGCGTGTCCACGTCAGCTACATTATGCTGTGCCATTTTTAATACTATATACAGACATTCAAACCATCCAGAGTATTTTTATAATAATGTTGGATGAATTAGGATTTATAGTGCTATTGAAGTTTCTGGGAACACATAATATGTGGCCGGTTTAGCAATGAGCCTGTTAGGTGCATAGTACTTGCTGAGGTTTTTTCTTGTGGTGGAGCAGCGATCTCTGACCCATTTGGTCCAAGAGAGACAAGAGAAGCCCCCTTCCTGATTCTCAGGACGGCTCCATCAAGAATGCAGGATGTGCAAACTAAAGATTTGGGAAAGGTATACAGGAATGCATTCATCAAGTATGATCAGGGGATTAAGTCTCTGAACTGAGTGTTCTCAAGTTTCCACGGAGGAGAACGATTTGGGAATCCTGGGAGTGAAGAGACTGAATCCAAGGTGGGGCTGCACAGAGCTGAGACATTGCTTTCTCTGCTCACCTGGAGTTCTGCAAGCCTCTGTAGAGGGACAGGTTGATCGTCCTTCTTGTCCACGTCCTTCATAGCATCTGGGGTTCCAGGCATGGCTTAGACCCCATTCCGTACATAAGAACGAATCTGTGTTACAGCTGCAGGATTTGGCTCTATCATTTATAAAATCAGGTTTTGGTCCCGAGATTATTTGGGATATTTTTGGTCCTTCCTTTAGTGGACGCCTGGAGCCACAGATTCAGTTCTTTAATGAACAAAACCCATGGATTATGATTTCATGGGTCTTAAGATTTTAAAATAAAGGGATATTTATCTTATATTCATGAGCTCAGTTCTGATGGTGCCCACGGTCAAGAGTGAAAAACACAGACAGTTCACATTCAATCTTGGCACTTTCGACTTGTCTTGGGAAAAAGCTTACATATTAATTTAAAAGAAAGATCAAGTATGTCTGTGCTAAAAAGAATTAGCAGCAGCTTTATATGTGACTTTGTAGATACTAATAAGGGATTTGACCTTTCTTTTTTGTTATTGTGACTTTAGAAATGTGGAACCTAAACACAAATATGGTGTTCTGTTTAATAAGTTGTATTTGTTATATTTTCTGATTCGGTAAATATCTTATACCAATTTTTTTAATGAAATACTTTGTGTGGACAGGCACAGTGACCCTCCTGCCCTCACACACACCGGGGCTGAACGTGAACGTTCTGTCTGTCAGTGACATAAGCGCGACTCTTCGAGGGTTTAATGCAGCTGTCACCCTCTAGTCACGTCCATCTGCCTTTTTGCTTCTCATCGCATTTCTTTGCTGTAAGATGACTGCTGCTCTCTGCTGCCATCACTTTGGGATATATTTTGAGTTAATATTTTTGTTTGGTAACAATAAAAAATTTTAAATTGTAAAAAAAAAAAAAAAAAAA